TGCCGTGCTGACGCACGCCTGAGGAAAAATGTGCGGGACGGACGTGCGTCCACCGTCATCGTGGAGGTGCCTCGGCGCCAATGGGGTGTTAATGGAGGTGCCTCGGCATTGGCGCTTGAGCGCTTGGTGTCGGATCCAGTTCCAAGGGGCCCAAAGGCCTGGTGGTTCCGATCACCGTTGAAGCACGTGGTGGTGGTGCAGAGGTAAGTTGTAGTCATCGGCTTCCATGTTGGTGGAGCCGGTAGCAATAAATCCGCCAACTTTCTTGGCGGTGCAGAGGACTTCGAACCTCTGTCGTCGAGTTTTTCCTCTGCTCTTCCCCCTCTTCTTTGTGTTTTTTGCGAGTTCTTCCTAATTTAGGCGAACACAGTGTGAATGACAATGTTGATAACATGTTAAGCATCGAAAGCTTGAATGTAAAGAGACAAAGATTGAACACAAGAATGATTGAACTGCATTTGCTTTATTGATCGATTCATATTTATACATGGCGAACTGTCATCTCAAGAACCACACCAATGTATTCCCTTCAGGGATGCGGGATGCCGGTGTTGTACACGGGTCAATGCTGAATAGTAAACGCAGTTAACATTAAGCCTACTCACTAATTAGTTGGTTGGATCCCTATGATTTATCGCTGGGGATGAGATTACTGAATTTCTGTTGGTACATTTGCTTCTTCAACGGATTGCTTCGTAACAGTTTCAAGCTTCCAGCAAGAGTTCAAATACGCACGACACTCGTTCGCATGCATCCAGCGGGATGAGGAACAATTGCGCGATTACTTTCGACATTTCACTCAGCTCAGAGCTAGCACAACTGCACATGCACCATATCGTTTCAAGGTTTCAGTGTCGGGCAGCATCCCATTTTAAAACCCAGAAGTCGTTACATCCGTGGACATATAAAAAATCTGGTTATTAGGGTTAGGAAGGAGTAAATATTAGACCCACGTGGTTACAAGGGTTTGAAAATGTATCGTATTTCTTTTGCCGTGGACAGTACTGCATGCTAGCTTTCCGATTCTTTATCTAGAAGCTACATCCCTTAAACCAATGCAAACACCATGGCAAAAGAAATACGATACATTTTCAAACCCTTGTTTTTGTGAAAGAATGAACAACGATTTAACCAAACGTCTTCAGCAACACATCTGGACAATGAGAAATTTCGGACTTATCTAGCATGGAAACTCAGAATGCCTTTACTGACTTCAGCGATCTATAGTTTCACATGTCCAAAATGCAGTGACGTTTGAACATTTTCTCCACCGCAGCAAATGCTAGGAAACAATGGACAGGCTAGAAAATCTCACTTTGAGAAACATAAGTGCTCGTTCCTTAGGCGCTGGTTCAACGTAGCAAGCAAACATGTGCTATTAGGTTTCTGATACATCAATATATAGCAAAAGAACAGGTACAAGTAGATCTAGCTTGAGAAAGAAATTAAGCAAGAAGAGAGCCTGCATTGCGTGGTACCACACCGGATACCTGATTATGGACAAAGACAACATCCTTGATACTCGTGCCTGCTTTAGTTGATCGAGCTTAACTTTGACTTAATGAAGTGATAGTAGGTCCATTCTCATGCATAGCCTTCTATCCGCTGAACTGAAACCCTTCACATATACCAAAGGCATGCCATAAGTTGAGGAGCATGAAAAACTACATGAGAAACATATACAAATGGTAACAATATTTAAACAGGAATAGACTTCTGCACATAAGGAAATAACCAAACAGCACAATAAGACAATTTGTCTCGAGGCTTGACAGCAATTTATTTAGAATAATAGGTCATCACCGTTCAAATAAATATGCTACACAATAATTGTATTAGTATTATATTCACAACACATGTTGTTATATATTTAAAATAAAGGGGCTATTGCGTTCTTGCCCCTATTTTGAACCCTATTGTGATTTTATCTCCACTTTCTTTCACTTTGTGTTTTTACCCCTGTTTTTCCAAAACGAAGGTTCAGTTTATCCCTACTCCGTGAACAGCAGGTAACGGTGTTAAAAAAGTACAGATGACAAGTTTGCCCTTCCGAATATTGCAGTTTTGCCCCTATTTCAAACCCCAAGTGTGATTTTACCCCGACTTTCTTCCACTTTGTGTTTTTACCCTTCCTTTTCCAAAACAAAGGCTCCGTTTACCCCAATTCTTAACTCAGTTATCTACCTCCGGATCAAAGCAATTAAAAATTAACAAAAGTCCTATGAAAAGACAAATTTACCCCTTATCTCTCGATCGTCTCTCTCAGGGTCGTCCCTCTCAACGCTAGCAGGCAGCGGGCGGCTGGGTGCAGCTTAGCCTGACGCTAGCAGGCAGCAGTCGGTCTGAAGCTGAACTGTAGAATTCAGTTTTGGGGTGCCCTCCTTTGGAGCTCCGTATCTTCCAATACAGTCCGAGTTAACTCTTGATCCTTAAAGCAATATTGTTCATCTCGCAAAGATCTACAACTTTGCCTCTTGCGCCGTGATCAAACGCCAGCCGAATCGGGAAATAAGGAAGGAAGAAAATGAGGCTTCAGTGGTATGTTTGAGGTGGTATTTATTAATCAGCCGAAGCTGCAGCAAAGGCCGACCACGCACAGGGTTTCGACGCCGCGTGGCTCCCTCGGCTCGCCTCGCTCGACACCTCGCTCGCTGCATGTGCTGAAGAGGCGAAGTGGACGCCGCTGTCTCTCCCTTCCTCTGCGTTCTCTCTTTCTCCCTTGCTGTTCTCCTCCTTCAGCCAGGCACGGCGGCAGCAGGAAGCCATGGCCGCCGAGCTGTGCTCCATGACCGCCCCGTTCCCCTGCTCCCTCTCCATGGCCGTCGGTCCGAGCACCGCTGCTTGCCGACGCCCCGGCCACCTCGGTCGTCCTCGCTCGTCAACCTCGCTCCACCGACGCGCCTCGGCCGCTCGCCAGTTAAGCCGGCCCCGACCCTCATCGAAGCCTCGCCGCGGCCAAGCTGTCCGGGTCGTTGTGGCGAAGGCGCCTGGCCACCTCGTGGGCTCCCGTGGAGCGGGCGACGCCTCAAAGACCGCCACTCGCCCGCCGAAGCTTCACCACCCCGAGCCGGCCATCTCTCCCTGCTCTCTATTGTGGAAGGCGAAGGACATGTCAGGCTAAGCCACGCGCGCCCGCACCGCTTCCTCCACTGGGTCACAGACGCCGCCTTCGGGCGTGCCGACGCTGCTTCTTCCGCCGCCCACCGCTGGCAAGACCAATTACCACGTCAAGAAGCTAGCGTTGAGAGGGACGACCCTAAGAGAGACGACCGAGAGATAAGGGGTAAGTTTGTCTTTTCACAGGGCTTTTATTAATTTTTAATTGTTTTGATCCGGATATAGATAACTGAGTTAAGAATTGGGGTAAACGGAGCCTTCGTTTTGGAAAAGTAGGGGTAAAAACACAATGTGGAAGAAAGTGGGGGTAAAATCACAATTGGAGTTGAAATAGGGACAAAAACGCAATATTCGGAAGAGCAAACTTGTCATCTGTTAACTTTTTTAACACCGTTACCTGCTATTCACGGAGTAGGGGTAAACTGAACCTTCGTTTTGGAAAAGCAGGGGTAAAAACACAAAGTGGAAGAAAGTGGGGGTAAAATCACAATTGGAGTTCAAAATATGGGCAAGAACACAATAGCCCCTTAAAATAACCACAAAAAATAATGGTTGTGCTGTTCTGAAGTGTCAGAAAATTCCTAAGGAAGTGGTACCAATTTCAAAAGAAAAAGGAACATGCAGTAATAAATGTTGGCACAAAAGCTAGCCACTCAGTAAGCAAAGGAAATCACATCAATGTTACATTCTCATTTTAAAAACAATTTTGTATTCTGGAATGACATTTCATCTATTACATACTCAGATAAAAAGCTAATGGTCATCTTTTTATGAATTTGGCAGAAAGAAAAATGAAATGATATGATTGAACTTACTTTAATGCAATACAACGTTCTAAGCTGGTCATGATGATAAGACAAGGAAACAAAACATACCAACTGATTGTCACCAAGCAAAAGTAAAATGATGAACAATAATAAAAAACAAGCATTTGTATTTCGTTCATTAGCAATAAGCAAGATGACAATACGGTTCAGAACTAATACTATAAATCCAGACACTTCCATTCATATAATTTGGAACCATATTACGGTTCAGAACTAATACTATAAATCCAGACACTTCCATTCATATAATTTGGAACCATACTGTAAAAATAAGGACAACGTGACACTAATGATGTAAGTTAACTTACAAATATTAAGTTTACTAAGAAACGTCAAAACATTGCGAACTCTCTCATCATACACTTGACATTTGACTTCGACTGTCTTAAGGCATTGTGATATTGCAGCTGACATCTCCAATGGTTTGCAGTTCAGTTTAATCTCCACTTCATGTTTAGGTCCCTGTAGTAAATATAATGATTTTACCCAGATCAATCCACAAACTACAATAATATTTCGTTTTGTAGTTTCTACAACGCAGCAGTAGCATTCGAAATTATATACCCTTGAATATAGTTGAAGAGTGAGCTTCTCTAACACTGGTAAAAGTTTGAGGAGGCAAGCTAGGGCGCTGAAATCAGCAGGCTCACACCAGTATTCGTCGAGGAGCAAAGACTTCAATGTGTTGAAACTAGAGCAAAATTTCAAGTCCCTTCTGAAAATAAACTAAAAATAAACTAGACAATTGCAAACAAAGAAACATCAATAAAACTTAAATGTAAGCATGAACATTACAACTCAAGTGTGTAAGGATACCATGTCAGTGTCATGAGACATCAGCACCAAGTTCTGAACTTCCGATAGACCTTGCAAGAGAATACTTTGGTTGCTGTCATCATCAGAGTCAAGGGTAACCAGATCATAACCGTGCATTTTGATAAACGCTGTTAGTAAGGATGGCATCCTCTGAAGCGATGGAGTCCTGCCATCACGGACTTCAAGCCATAGTGAAACCAGATTCGGGGCACAGATAGGCAAGCGCCATTCTTCACCAAATTAGCAACACTGGATGGTTAGATGCTTTAGGGATTGTGACGAGATGAGTAAGAGATCCCCTAGGTTGCAGTCATCAACCTCAAGGTCTTCCAAATTCGGGCAGCATGAGAAGTCAAGCAATCTGTTGGGCAATGTGTCAAGTCCTTCAAGCTCTAGCTTCTTCAGGTATTGGGAGATGAAGAAAGGATGGCCATCGAGAGAAGGAAATTGGCCCGAATAGTTAAGCCGGAGCACCCGGACTTTGCACTGGAGAGCTATATGGATCCAAAGGTTAATGCGAGCCATGGCGGCGGCGCGACAGTACTCGTCGAGACGGAACTCGCACGTGTCGAGCGGTGTGCCTCCGTGGATGCGGAGGCGCAGCAGATGGTCCACGAACTCCTGAATCTCGTCCACGAACCCTGGTTCCTTCAATCCGCCGCACACGAAACGCAGGACGGTGGTGGACTCCCACAAGTGGCGCCAGCGCTTGGCGAGCACACATGTCCGCACGACGTCCTGCGCCGGCAAGAAGGAAAGTATGTGCTGCAGCACGCCGTCCGGGAGGTTGCTCATGTGGTCGCGGCCTTCGACCGGAGCTGCGGCGGCGGCTGACGCAATTTTGGGCGCTTTCCGCGGAAGCATCCTGCCGGTCGTTCGATCGAGGATGCCATCAGGCACTGTGGGTGTGGGACAAAAGAAACAGTCAAAGAACACGAGAGGTTAGCTGCATTGAAACAGCTAGCAGATCGATCCACGGGGAGGAAGACGAGGAGATGGATATGCATCTGCATCAATCACCTGAGACAGAGAGGCGGCGGCAGCCGTGCAAGATGATTCGCTTCTGCTCGGCTCTGCCCTATCCCCTTCTCTCCCTCGCCCGTCCCTTCTCCCTCGCGTCCCCATTCGTCCCCTCCTCCTCAGATCCGTGACAACCTCCAAGAGGCCGCCCCCAAAGGGAGGAGCGGCGGCGGCGTCCCCCAAACTGCGAGAAGCAGCGAGGGCGGGCCACAAGACCACAAGGGGCGAGCAGCGGCGGCGGGCGGCTTGCTAGCTTAGAGCGGTGGGGGCTCAGGCGTGGGGCGGCGAGTGGTTTGCTGGAGCAGAGCGAGGCGGATCGGGCTCGGGCATGGGGGCAACGGTGGCCCGGCGGGCGCAAGAGCGGCGGCGGCGGCGGCTGCGAGGTCCGGGGCGGAGGTATCCCCTTCTACCAACGGTTGGATTGCGCTTTGTGATTCGTGCGTCAACTGTTCTGCCAGTGTAGCCGACTGGATTCATGCCTAAGAGCAACTCCAAGAGTCTGTAAAATTAAACAGCTAAATCAATGATTTAGCTATATTTTTAAAATAGAAAACCCCTCCAAAAAAATAGATAATGAACTTGCGGTGAAAATTGTGATCAAACTGCGGCAATGAGGTGTACCCCATCACTACTGGCTTGGTTGTGTCGGTTAAAATCCGACAGTGAAGGGAGGTTTGAACGACACTAATTTAAGGATATGAGGTCGTGTATATTATGTGATAGCGTGTCTCATTGCCTGCACAAATGACTCGAGTAGGGTTCTGGCGGCGTCGTGTTAGGGTTCCTTCCTCCCCGCTCATGTTCTAATCTTCCTCAAGATCTGAATTAGAATCCATGCCACCATCCATCCATTGTGACCATGTAAGTCTCCGTGATGTAGTGAGCCTTCTCTCACATGTGTAGATGCACCTTTTCAAATTTGGTTCTTAGGGTTTGGGGTGGCGATGGTTGCCTAAACGTGAGAACCCTAAACCCTCGACAATGGATGCAGAAGGTGGATTGATGGAGAAGATGAAACTCTTGAAGGCGGAAAGGAGAGGGATCCGAGTGACGACGGGAGTGGAGGTGGAATGGTGGATCAAGTCAAGCCAAAACCAATCGGGAAGGTTCTGGCGGATAGCTTGTCAACGCGGAGGGGCTAGGGCAAGCACTACGAAGGTCTAGTGTCCGATCCGGGGCATCTACGGTAAGGACCTCGAATCCAATCACTTTCTATTCACGTCCCATCAGTCGATGGGAAAAAGAAGGGCGCCAGAGGACGGGCCGTGGTGTTCACGAAGGATCTGATAGTTGTGGTTCATTTTGATGGGAAGAAAAGGCTGGAAGGCAATAAGTTTGAGTGCGTCCCGATTTGGCTTAGGGCTTCGGGAATACCACTTCGGATGATGAACAAGGTGACAGGGAAAGCGATCAGCAATGAGGTGGGGGTTTTTGTGGACTTGGATTTGGAGGACGACGGCTCGGCAGTCGGCCAATACCTGCAGATCAAAGTGAAGCTGAACATCAACAAGCCGCTGGTGCGGGGAGTTTCTTGGTAGTGGATGAAGATGACAAGCCCCTATGGTGCCCCATAGTGTACGAATTAGTGGGGATCAAACAAATGAGAAGAAAGTGTTCCTCTAAACTTTAGAGCTAAAGTCTTCAAACAGGTGGTCTAAAGTTAGCTCTACTTTAACCCACCTCACACTAGAGCTTTAGATCTCAAAATTGAACTAAAAGTGCTCTAAAGTTTATAAGAAGGGATCCAAACACGCCGTGCCTACTCACTAATTAGTGGGTTGCATCCCTAGGATTTATCACTAGGGATAAGATGGCAATTTCTATTAGTTCATTTGCTTCTCCAACGGATTGCTTCGTAACAGTTTCAAGGTTCCAGCAAGAGTTCAAATAAGTGCTCGTTCCTTAGTGCTGGTTCAACATAGCAAGCAAACATGTGCTATTAGGTTTCTGATACATCAATATATAGTAAATGGACAGGTAAGAGGTAGATTTAGGTTGAACAAGCTATTAAGCAAGAAGGCAGCCTGAACTACATAACGTGGTACCACGCCGGCTACCTGATTACAGACAAAGACGTCATCCTTAATACTTGTGCTGCTTTAGTTGATTTGAGCTTCACCTTGACTTAATTAAGTGATAGTAGGTCCATCCTCATGCATAGCCTTCTATCCGCTGAACTGAAACCCTTCACATATATCAAAGTCATGCCATAAGTTGAGGAGCATAAAAAAAATACATGATAAACATATAGAAATGATGATACCAATATTTGGACAGCAATAAGATCAGCACAAAAGAAAATAACCAAACCACACAAAGACAATTTGTCTCGAGGCTTGACAGATTGTTTTAGAATAATTGGTCAAAATCATTTAAATGAATATGTTTACCATAATTGTATAGTATTGTATATTGACAAACACATGGTGTTATTATATTTTAAAACAACCACAAAAACTAATGGTTGTGCTGTTTAAGTGTCAGAAAAAATTCTGAGGAAGTGTTACCAATTTCCAAAACAAAAAGAACATGCAGCCATAAATGTTAGCACAAAAACAAGCCACCCATTGAACAAAGGAAATCAAATCAATGTTACGTTCTCATTTTAAAAAACAATTTTGTATTCTGGTATGACACTATTATCTATTATATACACACATAAAAAGCTAATGGTCATCTTTTAATTTAGTTGGCAGAAACAAAAAAAATGATATGATATGATTGAACTACTTTACTGCAATACAACATTCTAAGCTGGTGGGTGATGATAAGACAAGAAAACAAAATGTACCAAATGATTGTCATGAAGAAAAAGTAAAATGATTGACAAGAAAAAAAACAAGCATTTGTGTTTCGTTCATAAGCAACAAGCAAGATGACACACTATGGTTCAGAGAACCAGAGCTAATAGAATCACTGCTCAGTACAGCTAAATCCAGACACTTCCATTCATATAATTTGGAACCATACTAATAAGGAAAACGTGAACAGTAATGTCAGTTAACTTACATATGTTAAGTTGTTTGCTAAGAAACATCAAAACATTGTGAACTCTATCGTCATATACTTCACATTTGATTTCAAGCGTCTTGAAGTGTTGTGATATTGCCGCTGACATCTCCAATGGTTTACAGCTCAGTTTAATCTCCACTTTATGTTTAGGTCCCTGTGGTAAATACAGTGATTTTGGCAAGATCAATCGACAAATTTGAATTATAATTTGTTCTAGTTTCTACAACGCAGAAGTTGCATTTGAAATTATATACCTTTGAATATAGTTGAAGAGTGAGCTTTTCTAACACTGGTGAAAGTTTGAGGAGGCAAGCTAGGGCACTGAAATCAGCAGGCTCGCACCAGTATTCATCAAGTAGCAAAGACTTCAATTTGTTGAAACTAGAGCAAAATTTTAAGTCCCTTCTGAAAATAAACTAGACAAAGCAAACGAAGAAACATCAGTAAATCTAAATGTAGGCTGTAGGCATGAACATTATGACTCAGTGTGTAAGAATACCATTTCGGTGTCCGGAGATATTAGCACCAAGTTCTGAACTTCCGATAAACCTTGCAAGAGAATACTTTGGTTGTTGTCATAATCAGAGTCAACGGTATTGAGATCATAACCGTGGATTTTGACAACTGCTGTTAGTAAGGATGGCATCCTCTGAAGCGATGGAGTCCTGCCATCACTGACTTCAAGCCATAGTGAAACAAGATTCGGGGCACGGATAGGCAAGCGCCATTCATAAGAAAAATAACCACGCTTGATGGTTAGACGCTTGAGGGATTGTGACGAGATGAGTTTAGGACGCGCTAGGGCACAGTAAACAATCTCAAGGTCTTCCAAAAATGGGCAGCAGGAGAAGTCAAGGAATCTGGGCACCATTTCGTTGAAATTTTCAAGCTCTAGCTTCTTCAGGTATTGGGAGATAAAGAAGGGATGGTCATCTTGAGGAAGAATGTCCTGATAATTATCGCCCACAAAGATGAACTGGAGCACCCGGACTTTGCACTGTAGAGCTATACGGATCCAAAGCACGATTCGGCTCATGTCGAAATCTTTATTCTCGTCGAGATGGAAACGGAAATCGCAGGTGTCGAGCGGCGTGCCTCCGCGGATGCGCAGGCGCAGCAGATGGTCCACGAACTCCTTAATCTCCTCCACGGACCCTGGTTCCTTCAATCCGCCGCACACGAAGCGCAGGACGGTGGTGGACTCCCACATGTGGCGCCAGCGCTTGGCGAGCAGACATGTCCGCACGACGTCCTGCGCCGGCAGGAAGGAGAGAATGTGCTGCAGCACGCCGTCCGGGAGGTTGCTGATATAGTCGCGGCCTTCGACCAGATCTGCGGCGGCGGCAGACGCATTTTTGGGCGCTTTCTGCGGAAGCATCCTGCCGGTCGTCCGGTCGAGGATGCCACTGTAAGTGTGGGACAAAAGAAACAGTCAAAGAAACAATAAGAGGTTAGCTACATTGAAACAGCTAGCAGATCGATCCACGGAGGAAGACGAGGAGATGGATATGCATCTGCATCAATCACCTGAGACAGAGAGGCGTCGGCGGCGGTGGCCGCGCAAGACGATTCGCTTCCGCTCGGCTCTGCTCTATCCCCTTCTCTCTCCCTCGCCCGTCCCTTCTCCCTCCCGTCGTCCCCCTTCGTCCCCTTCGCCTCAGATCCGTGACAACCTCCAAGGAGCGGGCAGCAACGGCGGCCCCCAAACTGCGAGAAGCAGCGAGGGCGGGCCCCGAGGGGCGGGAAGCGGCGGCGGGGGGCTTGCTAGCTTAGGGCGGCGGCGGCTCAGGCGTGGAGCGGCTGGCGGTTTGCTGTAGCAGAGCGAGGCGGCTCGGGCTCGGGGATGGGGGGCAACGGTGGCCTGGCGGGCGCAAGAGCGGCGGCGGCGGCGGCGAGAGCAAGCTCAGAGCCTGAGGTCCGGGGCAGAGCCGCGGAGGTATGCACGTTCCACCAACGGTTGGATTGCGCTTTGTGATTCGTGCGGCAAGTGTTCTGCCGACTGGATTCATGGCTAAGAGCAACCATAATGTATACATGGGCTAACTAGTCTATATGGGTAGCTTTTGTGTCAGTGGACTATAGCTATTGTTGTCTCCACAATGTTTCAACCAACAAGTAGTCCATAAGATGGGTCTCATATGAGATAAAAAATTCTCTTTTTACGATCCTGTGCAAAATCAAGAAAGAGAGAGGGAGGAGTGAGAAAAAATAATATTTTTTATTTCTTATGGGTAGTCCATAAGTTTATAGGTACCTTTTGCTATGAACTATGCTATGAACTAGTCTTACAATGTTTCAGCAACCTAATAACAAATATTTTAATTCTATGAACTACCTTATGGCAAACATTGCGGTTGCTCTAAGAGAGTTTGTAATAAGGCAACGTTATCTGATTTCAACCTATTGGTCTTTACTGCGCATGGGGTCTTGTTTAGATCCCATCAAAGTTCCAAGTTTTTTCACTCTCTCTCCATTACATCAATTTTTAGCCGCTTGCATGGAGTATTAAATGTAGGTAAAAAAAATAACTAATTACACAGTTTAGTTGGAAATCACGAGATGAATCTTTTGAGCCTAGTTGATCCACGATTGAACAATATTTACCAAATAAGACGAAAATGGTACTATTTATCAGGTTGAAAAAAGTTTCAATCTAAACAAGGCCGATATCTTGATTCATGATTCAACCTCCTCCCAGAGCAGCAACTGCAAGAGTTCACTTCCCCAGCGAACTCCCTCACACCAACTGGCATTAAAGAGGAGCTGTGCCAAAAAGTGCCATAGCATATATTATTGCTTGCGCAAAGATCGGAATCATACCTCTAGCAGGCATTGTCTTCTGTTACCTAAACAGCTGTCATTTTTACTTACGTTGAAATCACACCGTCCGAAAGCAGAAAATCCATCCCATTAACGGAATATATGTGACACAGCTACCTTGTTCAAGGAGATACCATTCCCGAGGACAGCAAACCATAAGCAAGGAGATTCCTCTATAAAAAAAAAGATTACTCTACTGAACATCTGCAACACATTCCACAGCTTTAGTGCACTTTGGTCTCGAAACTGTTGACTAGGCATTGTCTCGATGAACTGAACTATTGATCGCAGACTACTTGTTGTGAATTCACAATTGAATCGCTTCTAGTATGAGAATTTGGTTTTCACAATTGAATCCGGGTGTCGACGGGGGGTGGAGGTGGATCGAAGTCGGCAAAACCACATGCAATCGAGAAGGTTCTTGCGGATTACCTGTCAATGCGGAGGGGCTAGGGCAAACTGAAAGTGCATTTGCCCCCTATGTGGGTTTTGGTGTATTGATGACATCCAAATTAGGGACTAATGTGATCTTAATGAGATATGTTACAACTATTAGTCCCATGAAAGATTCAAAGAGTTGATAAAGATGAAATGGTATCCCTCAATTCTTGAACTTGTAAAGGCGAACGAACTCAAAACGATCTTCAAATGTTTTAATTTTGTTTTTGAGTTTAGGATCCGCCGCACTATAAAGAGGGACGCAAGTTTAGTTGGTCTGAGGAAGATAGAGTGCTCAAGCATTTAAATAAAATCAAAAGAGAGTCACTCTAGCACTTCACGAGCACATAGAATAATTTTCTGTGACTTTTGGTGTTGGAAGTCCCGACGTAAGTTGAACTCCGATGGTCGGAAGTTCAGGACCTAAGCCAGGAGTCCCGCACCGGTGCTTTCGACCGGCTCGCTATTCATGCACGCCGGAAGTCCCGACGTTCGCCGAGAGTTCCGACATCGACTGACCCAAGCCGGAGTCCCGACATCTGATCTTTGGTTGTTTGGTTTATCGCGCGACGTCGGAAGTCCCGACGACGTTGAAACTTCCGACCGTCGGAAGTCCCGACGCTTTCTTTGAGAGTTCCGACATCGACTTTGCACGCTACCGACTTCGACTCTTTTGTGTACAAAGTGTTTTCTGTTATCGTCAGAAGTCCCGAGATCTGCGTCGGAACTTCCGACGTAGATCTGAACGGTTGGATTTTCATTTGGAGTATAAATACTCCTCTCTTCATTTCTAACCGTTATGGACTCATTTCACAGTTGACTCACTTCGTGCTCAACAACTCCCAAGCAACTAAAGCACCCCTCTCCTTCCCCCTTTGCTCCAATCTTCGATTCCCTTACGGTTTGAGTGAAAGGAGAGTGGATTAAGTGAGAGCATCACTTTGGAAAGTTTGAGCACTTGATTTCTTCGTCAAGCTGGTTGATTTTGCGTCTATTACTCTTGGGGCTTTGCCCCTAGCCGGCTAGGCGTTGCCCTAGAGCTTCCATCTTGTGGAAGAGCCTTGGAAAGTTTGTATCACCCTTCGATTTCTTAGTGGAAAGCTAAAGTGACCTTTGTGGTCGCTTTGAGAGAGGCAAGGAGGTGGAAAAGACTCCGACCTTGGTGGTCACCTCAACAACGAGGACGTAGGAGCTCCTTAGTGGGGTTGTCGAACCTCGGGATAAATCCTTGTGTCCCGTGTGCTTGTTGTTGTGATTGCTAGAGATTATTTGTATGTGTTTGTCTCTCTCTCCCAAACTTCCATTTTAGGGTTTGGACTCGATCTACCGTTTGGAGGCATTACGGCGTCAAGGGAGTGACTCAACATCTTCACCAAATCACTAGGAAGTGAGGTTGTAAGTTTATTTATCCGCAAAGTTAAATTTGGCACTGTTTTTGTAGTTCACGTAGGAGTCGGAACTGCTGATGTTTGCGCCAGAACTTCTGACAACGTCGGAAGTTCCGACCCAAACGTCGGGACTTCCGATAGTGACTGACAGACTTGAACTTAGCATTTGCAGTAATTTTTAGATACACCTATTCACCCCCCCCTCTAGGCATTGTTAGATCGTTTCAATTGGTATCAGAGCAAGGTCTTCTCTTTGCGTTTCACCACGTGAGAAGAAACAATGTCAGAATCCAACAAGATGCAAGCCGTTGCCGCTGAGATGGCCAAGAAAATAGCTGAAGAGTTGATGGCTGCTCAAGCCAAGCTATTTCAAGATGAAATGAAAAAGATGCAAGATGAGATGAGTAAGATGAAGGAAGAATTGAGCAAGAAAGTTGATGATGCAATAAGTGGCAAAATGATACAAGTGACAAGAATGAAGCAAGCAAAGATGCCGCTAGTGATATTGGAGCCGGTGAGCATGCTCATAGAAAAGGAATATATTCAAACATGGGCTTTGACTATGGACAACTCATAAAAGGTTCAACACTACATACTCCGTCCGTCAACATTGGGAAGCCACCTCACTTTGATGGAACAAGATACACCGATTGGTCTTACAAGATGAAGATGCATCTCATAACCGCAAGACTTTGGGAAGTTATGGATGTTGGTGTGATGATTCCTACCGATGAAGATAAAGAGATAACTCCGGAAGAAGTGCACAATCTCCATCAAAATGCACAAGCCGTAGCATTGCTTGTGTCAAGCCTAGCTCCGGATGAGTTTAGAAAAGTGAATGGAATGGAAAGTGCAAAAGCAAATTTGGGATACTTTGAAAGTATCATTTGAAGGAGATAAAAGTGTAAGAAAAGGGAACATAGAGTTACTTCATGGTGAATTAGAAAGATTTGTATTCTTGCAAAATGAAACAACACAATCCATGTTTGATAGGCTCATGGCATTGGTCAACCGCATAAGAGTTCTTGGTAGCAACGAATGGGATGACAACAAAGTTGCTAGAAAGATGTTGAGAACCTATAGAGCCAAGAACAACATGCTAGCATCCGTGATCATGGAAAGGCTCGGTTATGATGAGATGACACCTCAAGAAGTTCTTTCAAAGCTTAAGCATCATGAGTGTCTAGATGAAGATGCAATCAATGCTCACAATCAAAATCCTAATGCAATGGGATTCAACAAGAGTGCAGCCCTTAAAGCAACTCAACAACATGAAGGTCAAGGTTCAAGTCAAGAAAAGAAGAAGAAGTGAAGGATGATTCTTCAAGTGAAGAAGAAGATTCCGATGCGGAGATTGCCTTTGTGATTAGAAATCTTAGAAAGTTTATGAAGAAGAAAAGCAACCGCAAGACCTATGGTGATGGTAAGAGAAGGTTCAAAAAGAGATTTTGCTATGGATGTGGTCAAATCGGTCACTTCATAGCCGATTGTCCTAATGAGAAAAAGAAGCACAAGCATGACAAGGATGAAGACAAGAAGAACAAAGGCAAGAAGAGAGGTGAAGCTCATCTTGGGGAAGAATGGGAGTCAAGTGATAGTAACTCAAGTGATGATGAGAAGAAGAAGAAGGGAGCCGCAAACATCGCCATCCACCACTCTTCTTCACCGACCATGATCTTCCCCAACTCAACTTCACCACCAAAACTCTTCCCCAACCTATCTTCACCACCGA